TATATATTATTTAAATAATATATAGATATAAATATATATGGGGGGAAGGGGGGGGAAAACCAATATGTTAGGAGTAAGGTAGTATGTTATGTACCTGAGATAATTCAATGTAATGTTACAGCAACATTAACCTAACATTAACATTATATTCCAGGTATCATTAATTGTCCGCCGTCATTTGCGCGAACAAGCATCCCTGCCAGCGCCGCGTCAAGTTTCATGTCCATAGAAAGGTTTTAAACCAAAAAAATACTGAATGTGCCCAAACCCCTCCCTGACGAAATAAAGCATTTCATGGTGAATAACATATGTCCCGTGAGACCAGGCGGAGCATGATGATTTCTTACTAATGTAATGCCTGAATAGAACATGTCCCTTCCTTAAGAAAAATGATTATTTCTTACTATAGCATTTACTGCAATTTCACTTGTACAGTGCCTGAAAGCTTACCCACTGTGCTTACAACAATAGAAACATGCTGGATATCAGGGACAGGTACATGATAATAAAATGTCCTTAATACATTAATAATATGTATAGCGTACATCCTACACACTATTATACACTATATAGGTGTGCTTCAGAGGATAGTTTAACTTAGAATCTTAGCTTTGGGAGTTAAGGGTAGGAGTTAAAGTCTCTTTTCTCTGATATCCATTAGAGCTTCAGGAAGGAGTTTAACCTTCAATCTTCGGTTTACAAGACCGGTGCTTTGGCGGTTAAGCTACTGGAGCAGGCTCAGTCTAGGATTTTATTCTCTAGTCATCCTGACAGAGGGATAAAAAATAGAAACAATATAAAGTATAATACCGATGCAACTTGACCAATAATAATGAATGGATGTTCTACTGGTTGCCCTCCAATTCATGTTAGCACTAGTATATTTGCTACTAAAATTCAGAATAAGGTTTGTGAAGATGGGCGGAAGGTGTTGCTTCGTTGTTTAGAGGTGTGCAGGGTTGGTACTACTACTAGGATTAGAATTGAGAATAAAAGTGCGAGAACACCTCCGAGTTTGTTAGGAATTGACCGTAAGATGGCATATGCGAATAGGAAGTATCACTCTGGTTTAATGTGAGGTGGTGTGACTAGTGGATTAGCTGGGGTAAAGTTTTCTGGGTCTCCTAGTAAGTTTGGATTTAGAAGTGCTAAGGCTGAAAGGGTGGCTAATAAAATAGTGAATCCTAGTAGGTCTTTGTATGAGAAGTAGGGGTGGAAGGTGACTTTATCAGCATCGGAGTCTAGGCCGGTTGGGTTATTGGAGCCTGTTTCATGTAAAAACAGTAGGTGAAGCATGGTTGTTCCTATAATAATGAAGGGTAGGAGAAAGTGAAATGTGAAGAATCGTGTTAAAGTAGCGTTGTCTACGGAGAACCCACCTCAGATTCATTGTACTAGAGTGTCTCCGATATAAGGGAAGGCTGATAAGAGGTTAGTAATAACGGTTGCTCCTCAGAAGGATATTTGTCCTCATGGGAGGACATATCCGACGAAAGCGGTTATTATAACGAGAAGTAGAAGAAGGACTCCGATGTTTCAGGTTTCTTTATATAGGTAGGAGCCGTAGTAAAGGCCTCGAGCAATGTGAAGGTAAATACAAATGAAGAAGAAGGAGGCTCCGTTTGCGTGAATGTTTCGTAGAAGTCAGCCGTAGTTTACGTCTCGACAGATATGGGCTACTGAGGAGAAGGCGAGGGTAATATCCGCTGTGTAGTGTATTGCCAAAAATAGTCCTGTTAGGGTTTGTGTAATTAGGCATAATCCAAGGAGGGATCCAAAATTTCATCATGCGGAGATATTAGAGGGGGTTGGTAAATCAATAACTGCTCCGTTAATAATTTTGAGAAGGGGGTGGGTTTTTCGGATGTTAGCCATTAGGTTTCTGTAGTTGAATTACAACGGTGGTTTTTCGAGTCATTAGTCTTGGTTAAAGTCCGAGTGGAAATTATGGTTTACCTTGTTTTCCTGTTTTTATTGGGTTTAGTTCTAGGGTTAATTGCGGTGGCCTCTAATCCGGCGCCTTTTTTTGGTGCTTTTGGGTTGGTGGTAGCAGCGGCCTTTGGGTGTGGTATTTTGGTCGTATATGGTGGTTCCTTTTTATCTTTGATTTTATTTTTGATTTATCTTGGGGGGATAATGGTTGTTTTTGCTTATTCAGCGGCTTTAGCTGCTGAGCCTTACCCTGAAACGTGGGGTGCATGATCAGTATTAGTCTATGTAATTGTTAGTGTAATTGGGGTGTTAGGGGCAGGGTATTGATTTGTAGGTGAATGGGATAAGTTTATGTGGGTTGCTGAAGAGTTTATAGAGCTTGGTGTGTTACGGGGGGATTTTAGTGGGGTAGCATTGGTGTATGACCTTGGGGGTGGAATGTTGATTGTTTGTGGGTGAGTGTTGTTGTTAACTTTGTTTGTGGTATTAGAGCTTATCCGGGGTATGGGTCGGGGGTGCTTGCGTGCCATTAGGTCAAAATGGGTAAGTCAGGTTGGGTTAAGATGAGTAACAAGGTTGACAAGAGTGTAGTGAAGATAAAGGTAGTCAGGTAGGTTATAACTATTCCTCGTGGGATATCGCTTGTGAGTTTGGTTAATGGTAGTTGGCTTGATGTAATGCCTTTTGGGAGTGAAATTTCGAGTCATGTTTGGTCTATTAGTTGTGTTGCTATCAGTTGACCTATGGTGAGGTTAGCTTTGGGGGCTATTCGATGTATAATTGTTGGAATATATCCTGTTAGGTTTGAAAAGTTGAAGATAATTTTAGCAGGGTTGTCTATTGGGATTTTTGATTTTTGTGTTATTGTATTTGAGGCAGGTGATTTATTAGGTAATTTATTTATCAGGGTTTTTAGCCATATGGCTGATAGGAGTCCTAAAATTGTTACTAGTAAAGCGCTTAGTTTAAGGGTTATTGGTATTGTAAGAATTGGGGTTTCTGTCTTGGGACAGTTTAATGTAATTAGGAATCCGGCTAGGATACTTCCTCAGGCTAAGCGTTTAATGGGGTTTCGTACAGGCGAGTAGTCTTCTTTTGGGGGTGGAAGGAAGATACATCGTGGGAAGTTTATGAGGGCATAGAAGGTGATACGAAAGTTATACACGGCTGTAAAGGAGGTCGCTAGGAGAGTAAGGGTAAGGGCTCAGGCGTTTAGGTAAGAAGTGTTTATTGCTTCAATGATTGCATCTTTGGAGAAGAATCCTGATAGGAAGGGTATACCGGTTAAGGCAAGGCTTCCTACTACTATGCAGGCGGAGGTGAATGGAAGAAGGGCATGAACATGTCCTAGCTTCCGGATGTCTTGTTCGTCTTTGAAGTCATGAATAATTGAACCAGAGCATAGGAAGAGTATAGCTTTGAAGAAGGCGTGGGTACAGATGTGGAGGAAGGCTAGTTGGGGTTGGTTAAGACCAATAGTAACTATTATTAGTCCTAGTTGACTTGATGTTGAGAATGCTACGATCTTTTTGAGGTCATTTTGGGTGAGGGCGCATGTTGCAGCAAATATAGTTGACAATGCACCTAAGCAGAGACAGATGGTAAGGGCTGTTGGGTTTTGTGCAATTAAGGGATGAAATCGGATGAGAAGAAAAATTCCAGCAACGACCATAGTACTTGAATGTAGTAGGGCAGAGACCGGCGTAGGACCTTCTATTGCGGCAGTTAGTCACGGGTGTAAGCCAAATTGGGCTGATTTTCCTGTGGCCGCTAAGATTAGTCCTAATAGGGGTAGTGTGGTGGGGGTGTCATTAAGAAAGGAGAATGTTTGTTCAATTTCTCATGTGTTTAGGTTTATTACAAACCATGTTATGCTTAAGATTAGTCCGATATCTCCTACTCGATTATAAATTACTGCTTGAAGGGCAGCAGTGTTAGCGTCTGCACGGCCGTATCATCAGCTGATGAGTAGGAAGGATATGATACTAACGCCTTCTCATCCAATGAAGAGTTGGTAGAGATTATTAGCTGTTACTAAGATAATTATGGTAATTAGGAAAACTAGCAAGTATTTAAAGAATTGATCTATACGTGGATCTGCGTGTATATATCATAAGGCAAATTCTAGGATTGATCAGGATACGTATAGTGCAACTGGAATAAAAATGATTGAATAAAAATCGAATTTGAAGCTGAGAGAAATATTAAATGTTGAGATTTTTATTCAATGTCAGCTGGTCGTTGTGGTATGTAACCCTTGTGTTAGGAATAGGGATAGCTGAAATAGGCTGGCAAAGAAAGCTGTTTGAATAGCGGTTTTTACGCGGATTGCTCAGTTTTTAAGGGGGGATGGGGTTAAGGTTATTAGTAGGGGGGTGGCTAGGATTAGGAGAATAACCGCAAGGTTTGAGTTGAATATGGTGGCTAGATGCATAGCTTCTACTTGGAGTTGCACCAAGAGTTTTTGGTTCCTAAGACCAATGGATGGCTTTTATCCTTTAGAAGCGCGAGCGAGTCGTGGTATCGAACCACGATTCTAGTTAATTAGCAGTTATATAGTGCCTCCAGGCCTCTCTCGGTGGACAAGAAGATTTTAACTTCTGTCTTTAGAATCACAATCTAATATTTTGGTTAAACTATGTCTACAGTAATATCACCCTCATACTAGTTCTGGTTTTAGAATAAGTAGGAGGATTGGAATGAGGTGTAGGGAAATCAGTAGGTGTTCTCGGCTGTGAGGGGGTTCAATGTTGTTTATGGATGGTGGGACTGGGCCCCATTGGGTTGTTATAAATATGTATATGGTATAAATGATTGTGATTAGGGCTGCCAGACCTGTAAGGATTAGGGTTCATTCTGATCAGTAGAATAGGGATGCTATAATGGCTATTTCTCCTGTTAGGTTTGGGAAGGGGGGTAGTGCTAGGTTGGCAAGACTAGCGATAAATCATCACGTGGCTGTGAGGGGTAGAAGTGTTTGTATACCTCGTGTAATGAGAAGGGTGCGAGTGTTGGTTCGTTCATATACGGTATTTGCCAAGCAGAAGAGGGCGGAAGAAACTAGCCCGTGAGCAATTATTAAAATAATTGCGCCGGTGAAGCCTCAGGGTGTTTGGATTAAAATACCTCCTACTACTAGGCCTATATGACTAACTGATGAGTAGGCAATTAGGGCTTTTAGGTCTGTTTGTCGCAAGCAGGTGGATCCTGTCATAATGGCCCCTCAAAGGGCAAGGATAATAAATGGATAAGCTAATTCTTTGGTAAGGGGGTCTAGTAAAATTACTATTCGTATTATTCCATACCCTCCTAGTTTTAGTAAGACAGCAGCCAGAACTATTGAGCCAGCAATTGGGGCTTCTACATGTGCTTTGGGAAGTCAGAGATGAATCCCATATAGTGGTATTTTTACTAGAAATGCCAGGAGGCAGGCCGCTCATCAGATTTTGTTTGTTCAGGATGGTAAAAGTGTAGGTGGCGAGTACTGGATTAATAATATGGAAAGGGTTCCTACGTCTTTTTGTAGGATTAGTAATGCAATCAGTAGGGGAAGAGAGCCGACTAGGGTATAAAATAGGAAATAAGTTCCCGCGTTTAAACGTTCAGCTTGATTACCTCATCGAGTGATAATAGCTAGGGTGGGAATCAGGGTGGCTTCAAATATTACATAAAATAAGATAATTTCTGTTGCTCCGAAGGCTATAATTAAAAAGACTTGTAGTGAAATTAGTAGGGAAATATACATGCGTTGTCGGTTGATTGGTTCTGGAGAGATATGGTTCTGGCTTGCTATAATTATTAGGGGTAGTAGTCAGCAGGTGAGGACTAATAGGGGTGTGGACAGGGGGTCAATGGCTAAGTAGGAGTTTAAGGTAAGTCACCCGGGCTCTGCGCTTCGTTTAAGTCAGGTAAGGCTGAGACTTGCAATTATTAAGCTTTGGGCGGTGGTTGTGGTTCATAGTCATTTTGGAGAAGAAAGTCAGGTAGTAGGAAGTAGTATGAGGGTAGGAATTAAGATTTTTAGCATTGTAAAAGGTTAAGGTTTTGTAGGTGACTAGTTCCGTGTGTTCGGGTTGCGGCAACGAGGAGAGCTAGTCCTGCACTAGCTTCACATGCTGAAAAGGCTAGTAGTAGTACTGGAGTTGTAGCGTAGGATATGGACTCTAATTGTAGGGATCATATTGATAGTGCAATAAATAGTGAAAGTATCATTCCTTCTAAGCACAGTAGGGCAGAGAGGAGATGTGTTCGGTGAAAAGCGAGGCCTATTAGTCCTAGAATAAATGCTGCGCTAAAGCTGAAATGTACGGGAGTCATAAGGTGATTATGGACTTGAACCATAATTTACTGAGCCGAAATCAGTGGTCTTGCTTTGGACTAATCATCTATTCAGCTCATTCGAGGCCGCCTTGAAGTCATTCATAAATTAGGCCTAGAGTTAGGAGTATTAGAATTACAGTGGCTCAGATGAGGGTTGTGGTGGGGGAGGTTAGTTGGTCACTTCATGGAAGTGGAAGGAGGAGGGCAATTTCTAGGTCAAACAGGAGGAATAAGATGGCAATTAGGAAGAAGCGTAGAGAAAAGGGCAAGCGTGCGGATCCTAGTGGGTCAAACCCACATTCATATGGTGAGAGCTTTTCTGAGTCCGGAACTATTTGGGGAAGTCAAAAGGCTACTATTGCTAGAATGCAGGATAGAATTGTTGTAATGATTAGGATTATTGCGATTAAGTTCATTATCTTTCCTTGGGGTTTAACCAAGACTAAATAATTGGAAGTCATTTGTACTAACGTTAATACTAGAAAGATTATGAGCCTCATCAGTAAATAGAGACATATAGGAACAGTCAGACTACGTCAACGAAGTGTCAATATCAGGCAGCAGCTTCAAATCCGAAGTGATGTTCGGGGGTAAAGTGGTATTGGATTTGTCGTAGGAGGCAGACTAAAAGGAAGAGGGATCCAATAATTACGTGTAGTCCGTGAAAGCCTGTGGCGACGAAGAATGTTGAGCCATAGACTCCGTCGGCAATTGTAAATGGGGCTTCATAATATTCTATCGCTTGAAGTATGGTAAAGTAGAATCCTAAAATGATGGTGAGGGTGAGGGCTTGAATTATCTGTTTTCGTGCCCCTTCTATTAGGCTGTGGTGTGCTCATGTAACTGTGACCCCAGAGGCTAGAAGTACGGCGGTGTTTAGTAAGGGGACTTCAAATGGGTCTAGGGGTGTAATTCCAGTTGGTGGTCAGCATCCTCCTAGTTCTGGGGTTGGGGCAAGGCTAGAGTGGTAGAAGGCTCAGAAGAATCCGAGGAAAAAGAAGACTTCCGATGTAATGAATAGAATTATTCCATATCGTAATCCTTTTTGGACGGGGGGTGTGTGGTGGCCTTGAAATGTGCCTTCTCGTACGATATCTCGTCATCATTGATATATTGTTAGTGGAAGTAGTATAGATCCTAAGGTTATAAGGGAGGTGGAACCAAAGTGGAATCAAATTGCGAGGCCAGATGTTATTAGAAGGGCTGCAATTGCGCCGGTCAGGGGTCATGGGCTTGGGTCAACTATGTGATATGCGTGTGTTTGATGTGCCATTATACGTTTTCTTGTAAATAGAGGCTAAGGAGGAGTACAAAGACGTATGCCTGGATTATGGCAACGGCAACTTCCAGAAGTGTAAGGAGGAGCATTACTATTGCCGTTAGTGTGGCTACGGTGGGTATTAGTTGTAATAGAACAAAGGTGGCAGTAGAGAGAAGTTGAATAAGGAGATGTCCAGCAGTTAAATTAGCTGTTAGTCGGACCCCTAGTGCTAGGGGTCGAATTATTAGACTAATTGTTTCGATAATAATAAGAACTGGAATAAGGGGGGCTGGAGTTCCTTCTGGCAGAAGATGTCCTAGAGCGGCGGTCGGTTGATTACGTATTCCAATAATAACGGTGGCTAGTCAAAGGGGAACGGCAAATCCTATGTTGAGAGACAGTTGGGTTGTGGGAGTAAAAGTGTATGGTAAAAGACCCAGAAGGTTTAGGGTAATAAGGTAGAGTATTAGAGAGGTTAAGATGAGAGCTCATTTGTGCCCTCCTAAGTTTAATGGTAGTAGTAACTGTTGTGTAAATCGGTTAATAAATCATCCTTGAAGTGTAAGTAGTCGGTTGTTTAGTCATCGATTAGTGGGGGTTGGGTAGAGAATTCATGGGAAGGTTAGGGCAATAATAATTAGGGGGATGCCTAGGTAGGTGGGGATTGCAAATTGGTCAAAGAGGCTTAGGGTCATGGTCAGTTTAAGGGCTCGGGGTTGGGTTTTTCTACGCTTTGTGTGGTAGGTTCTATCGTGAAGGAGTGTTCCATAATTTTAGAGGGGAGAATAATTAGAAAGGTTAGTCAGGAGAGGAATAGGATGAAAAATCAAGGGGTTGGGTTGAGTTGGGGCATATCACTAAGGGTGGTTAGGAGCCACCAATCTTTAGCTTAAAAGGCTAACGGCTACTCCGTTTAGCTTCTTAATGAGGCTTCTTCCAGCATTAATGAAGATCAGTTTTCAAAATGTTGTAGGGGGACTGCTTCAACTACGATTGGTATAAAGCTGTGGTTGGCTCCACAAATTTCAGAGCATTGTCCATAGTAGACTCCTGGTCGGGAGGCAATAAAGGTAGTTTGGTTAAGGCGGCCAGGGACTGCATCTATTTTCATTCCCAGAGAAGGGACAGCCCATGAGTGTAAAACATCTTCTGCGGAAATTAATATTCGAATGGGGGACTCTATGGGTACGACCATTCGGTGGTCTGTTTCTAGTAGTCGAAATTGTCCGGGAGATAGGTCGGAGGTTGGGATCATGTACGAGTCGAAGTTAAGGTCCTCGTAGTCAGTAAGTTCATAGCTTCAGTATCATTGGTGGCCTATTGCCTTGATGGTCAGGTGGGGATCATTGATTTCGTCTATTAGATAGAGGATTCGTAGTGATGGTAGGGCAATCATAATTAAAATAACAGCTGGTAGAATAGTTCATACGATTTCAACTTCTTGAGAGTCTAAGATGTGTTTATTTGTAAGTTTGGTTGATACCATAGCTACAATAATATAAAGTACTAGTGTACTAATTAAGAATACAATTATAAGTGCGTGGTCGTGGAAATGAAGGAGTTCTTCTATAACTGGGGAGGCTGCGTCTTGAAATCCTAGTTGTGAGGGATGTGCCATTATTGTTGTGTGCAAGGCACGCAGGAGTTTAACCTACACTTCTGCCTCGACAAGGCAGTACGTAATTTCTGTTTTACTAGAGCCTTATTAAAGAAAGTGGCAGAGTGGTTATGCAGTTGGCTTGAAACCAGCTAATGGGGGTTCAATTCCTTCCTTTCTTGTTGTTGTGACTTGCACTTGAACGAAGGCAGGTTCCTCATATGTATGATATGGAGGGGGACATTCGTGGAGTCATTCCACGTTGGTTGAGGTTAGTTCTACAGATAGGACTTCTCGTTTGGCTGAGAATGCTTCTCAAACAATAAATAAGAACATAATTACAGCTACAAGAGAAATTAAGGATCCGATTGAGGAAATAGTGTTTCAGAGGGCGTAGGCATCCGGATAGTCGGAGTATCGTCGTGGTATTCCTGCAAGGCCTAAGAAATGTTGTGGGAAGAATGTTAAATTTACTCCTGCAAATATTACTCCAAAGTGGATTTTAGATCATGTGTTATGCAGTGTATATCCTGTAAATAATGGAAATCAATGTACAAAGGCTCCTATGATTGCAAATACGGCCCCCATGGATAATACATAGTGGAAGTGGGCTACAACATAATAGGTGTCGTGCAGTATAATATCTAGGGATGAGTTGGCAAGGACAATCCCTGTTAGGCCTCCAACCGTAAAAAGGAAAATAAAGCCGAGGGCTCATAGAAGGGGGGTGTCTCACTTAATTGAGCCTCCGTGGAGGGTGGCTAATCAGCTAAATACTTTAACCCCTGTTGGGATAGCAATAATTATTGTAGCGGAGGTAAAGTAGGCTCGGGTATCTACGTCTATTCCAACTGTAAATATATGGTGGGCTCAGACGATAAATCCTAGCAGTCCAATGGCCATCATAGCTCAGACCATTCCCATATACCCAAATGGTTCTTTTTTACCTGCGTAGTAGGCTACAATGTGGGAAATTATCCCAAATCCTGGAAGAATAAGGATATAGACTTCAGGGTGTCCAAAGAATCAGAATAAGTGTTGATAGAGAATGGGGTCTCCCCCTCCTGCGGGGTCAAAGAAGGTAGTATTGAGGTTTCGGTCTGTTAATAATATTGTAATTCCTGCGGCTAGGACAGGCAGGGAGAGCAATAGTAAGACTGCAGTAATTAAGACAGATCAAACAAATAGGGGTGTTTGGTATTGAGAAGCTGCTGGTGGCTTCATGTTTAGGATTGTTGTAATAAAATTAATGGCACCCAGAATTGATGAGATGCCGGCTAAGTGTAGGGAAAAAATGGTTAAATCAACTGATGCTCCTGCGTGTGCGAGGTTGCTGGCTAGGGGTGGGTAGACAGTTCATCCTGTTCCGGCCCCTGCTTCAATCCCCGATGAGGCTAAAAGGAGAAGAAATGAGGGTGGGAGAAGTCAGAAGCTTATATTGTTTATTCGGGGGAAGGCTATGTCAGGGGCGCCGATTATTAGGGGTACAAGTCAGTTGCCAAATCCTCCGATTATAACTGGTATTACTATAAAGAAAATTATTACAAAAGCATGTGCTGTAACGATAACATTATAAATTTGGTCATCCCCAAGGAGGGTTCCAGGCTGACTTAGTTCTGCTCGAATTAAGAGGCTCAGGGCGGTTCCGACTATTCCGGCTCAGGCACCAAATACTATATAAAGGGTGCCGATGTCTTTGTGATTAGTGGAGAAAAATCAACGAGTAATTGCCACAGGTAGGATGGCTGAATGTATAAGCGGCGGATTGTAGCTCCGTACACAGAGGTTTAATTCCTCTTCTTATCAGCTCCGTGGTGAAAATCACATCAGATTGCAAACCTGAAGGCGCAGGCTCACCCCTGCCGGGGCTTCCTCCCGCCTTTTTCCCGCCTTGGCAGGCGGGAGGAAGTAGATGAATGCTCGTTGGTTAGGGCGCTTAGCTGTTAACTAAGATTTTGTAGGATCGAGGCCTTCTCATCTAGTGAGGCTTTAGCTTAATTAAAGTGTCTGGGTTGCATTCAGAAGATATGGGATAAAGTCCTGTAAGTCTTAACAAGAACTAGAAGGTTTGCACTCCTGCTTAAAGCTTTGAAGGCTTTCGGTCTTGGTCTATCCTAAGTTCCTATATAATTAGCGAGAAAATGGTAGGGGTAATTGGTAGAAGTATAATAGTAAGTGTTGAAATTGTAGCTAGGGGTATTGTTATTTGGGGTGATTTAATTCGTCAAGTTGATGATGTATTGGTGGTATTTGGGGATAGTGTAAGGGTTATTGCATAGCATAGTCGTAGATAAAAAAATAGGCTTAGTAGGGTGGCGAGGGCTATAATTGAGGCTGTAATGGCTAAATTTTGTTTAGTTAGTTCCTGTAGGATTAGTCATTTTGGTATAAATCCGGTTAGTGGTGGTAGGCCTCCTAGTGATAAGAGCATTGGTATGGTCAGGGTTGCTAGTACTGGGGATTTTGATCATGTTAGTGTTAGGTAATTGATTTTTGTTGCGTTGTTGTATTTAAATATTATGAATATTGCGGAGGTTATGATAATGTAAATTATTAAGTTAAGGAGGGTAAGTTTTGGTATAAATTGGAGAATAATAATTATTCAGCCTATGTGAGCAATGGATGAGTAGGCTAAAATTTTTCGCAATTGTGTTTGGTTCAGTCCCCCTCATCCTCCAACTAGTGTGGATAGAATACCTAGAGTAGTTAGTAAGGTTGGGTTTGTTGTGGAGCTGATTTGATAGATGATGGCAAATGGTGCTAGTTTTTGTCATGTAGCTATAATAAGTCCTGTAGTTAGGTCTAGGCCTTGTATTACTTCTGGTATTCAGAAGTGTATGGGGGCAAGTCCAATTTTTAGGGCCAAAGCGAATGTGACTAGGGTTGTGGATGGGGAGTGGGAGAGTTGTTGAATGTTTCATTCTCCTGTCATTCAGGCATTAGTGGTGCTGGCAAATAAAATTATGGCTGCAGCTGTAGCTTGTGTTAAAAAGTATTTGGTTGTGGCTTCTACTGCTCGTGGGTGGTGTTGTTGTGCTATGAGGGGGATGATGGCTAGGGTATTAATTTCTAAACCTATTCAGGCGAGTAGTCAGTGGGAACTTATAAATGTTAGGGTTGTTCCAATTCCTAAGCTTGAAATTAGGATTATAAGTACGTAGGGATTCATTAGTAAGGGAAGGAGTTTAACCTACATGTTTGGGGTATGGGCCCAAAAGCTTTATTAGCTGACTTTACTAGGAGGTGGTGTAGTGGAAGCACTAAGAGTTTTGATCTCTTGGGGATGGGTTCGAGTCCCTTTTTCCTAGGAAGCGAGGGGGCTCGAACCCCTATTATCTACTCTATCAAAGTAGCCCTTTGGCATTCAGGCACGGTTCCTTTGTTATTAGGTTTGAGGGGGTAGACTTGCGAGGGCAATTGGTAGTGCGGTGTGTCATAATACTAGTGCGAGGGTAAGAGGCAGGAAATTTTTCCATACAAGGTGCATTAATTGGTCATATCGAAATCGTGGGTAGGAGGCTCGTACTCACAGGAAGAGTATTGCGAGAATTGATGTTTTTAATATTAGGTTAAATGTTGTTAGTTCTGGGGTGGTTAGGTTGTGGTGCGCGCCTAGGAATAAGATCACGGAAAGTGTATTTATGAGTAGGATGTTGGCATATTCTGCTAGGAAAAAGAGAGCAAACGGGCCTCCCGCGTATTCTACGTTAAATCCTGACACGAGTTCTGATTCTCCTTCGGTTAAATCAAATGGTGCGCGGTTTGTTTCCGCTAGGGTTGAGATATATCATATAGCTGCGAGAGGCCATCCTGGAATAATGAGTCAGATTGACTCTTGTGTTACGTTGAAAGTGTGAAGAGTAAATCCTCCTGAAAAAATAATTATTGATAGGAGAATGAGGCCTAGACTAACTTCGTATGAGATTGTTTGGGCTACAGCTCGTAGTGCTCCAATGAGGGCATATTTTGAGTTTGATGCTCATCCTGAGCCTAGAATAGAATATACTGCGAGACTTGATAGGGCTAGAATAAATAGGATTCCAAGGTTTAGGTCAATTAGGGGATAGGGGAATGGTATTGGGGCTCAAAGTGTCAAGGCGAGTGTGAGGGCAAGTATAGGAGTAACTAAAAATAGAAGTGGAGAAGAAGTGGATGGTCGGATAGGTTCTTTAATAAATAGTTTTATTCCGTCTGCGATTGGTTGGAGGAGGCCATATGGCCCTACGATGTTTGGGCCTTTTCGTAGTTGTATATAGCCTAATACTTTTCGTTCAATTAGGGTAAGGAAAGCGACTGCCAAAAGAATAGGGATAATAAATAATAGTGGATTAATAATGTAGGTTATAAAGTATTTTGTCATAGCTGGAGAGAGGACTTGAACCTCTGGGGGAAAGGGCTTAGGCCTTTTGCAATTACCAAGCTCTGCCACTTCAGCTGTACCCTTTTTTGGGGTATTAATGATATGTCCTCTTTTTCATTTTAGTTGTGTTCAGTGAATGAGGATGGGGCGTGCTTGAAGAATAGGCCCCCTTCTTTCGATCCTTTCGTACTAGAAAGAGTCATTGCATAGATAGAAACTGACCTGGATTACTCCGGTCTGAACTCAGATCACGTAGGACTTTAATCGTTGAACAAACGAACCCTTAATAGCTGCTGCACCATTAGGATGTCCTGATCCAACATCGAGGTCGTAAACCCTTTCGTCGATAGGAACTCTGGGAAAGGATTGCGCTGTTATCCCTAGGGTAACTTGGTTCGTTGATCAGACAGGTCTGGGTCATTTATCGTCAGATTTTCTGTTACTTAGAGTTGTTGCTCTTGGTTTTAGAGGTTATCTCCAATCGACGTGGAGGTTTTATTTTTCTCCGTGGTCGCCCCAACCGAAAACATTAGGACCAGAGACCACTGTGCTTTGTATTTTTTATGTCTTTCGAGCAATTGGGTTACTGGCGTGGTTGGTCTTGTGTTTTAAGCTCCATAGGGTCTTCTCGTCTTATGTTTACATGTCCGCTTCTGCACGGGCAGATCAATTTCATTGACTGGAAAAAGGAGACAGGTGACCCTCGTGATGCCATTCATACCGGTCTTCATTTAAAAGACAAGTGATTACGCTACCTTCGCACGGTCAAAATACCGCGGCCGTTAAACTAAGTCACAGGGCAGGCGGGACCTCTAATACTTNGGTGTTNGCAAGAGGCGATGTTTTTGGTAAACAGGCGAGGCTCGGGGTTGCCGAGTTCCTTCTTTTTCTTTTAGTCTTTCCATGTGCATTCTTGTGTAAGGTTAACGATTAATATTTAATAAGCTTTTCTTGTTTAGGATATATAAATATTGCCCTCTTTGGTTGGGTTCGTTATTTGTCAGTGGTGTGTCCGATCTGACTTACACGTATGCTTGGAGAAGGTCGTGCCTTCTTATTACTGATTTTAGCATTATTTCTTCTATAAAAATAGAGTAGCTTAGTAGTATTAGGAGGAGTCAGATGTATTTGTCGTTATAATTGGATGGCTTCTGCCTGAGCTTTAACGCTTTCTGTGCAGGTGGCTGCTTTTAGGCCTACTGGAGCGGGAAGTCCTGTTATGTTATGATCTTTATCCATCTATTAAGGTTGTGTTCTTTCTCAGAGGAGCTGTACCTCCTTTGAGTAACTCTCAAGATTATCGAGTGCCTTGGTGAAGTAAGTACTTGGGGCGGTTAGGAGCATGTCTTGAGGCTGAACTAATATTCGTTTCCTAAGCAACCAGCTATCACTAGACTCGTTAGGTCTGTCACCGCTACTCGGAGATCTTTCCACTCTTTTGCCACAGAGACGGATTAGCCCTGGTAGACTGTCTCGGAGTAGCTCGTCTAGTTTCGGGAAGGCAGACTTAAGTTCTCTTTGCCTGGTAGACTGGCTAAATCATGATGCAAAAGGTACGAGATTTAATCTCTGCTTTTTAGTGCTTTGATGGGTTGTTTCATTTCTTTTTCAGCTTTCCCTTGCGGTACTGTTTTCTATTGCTCAAAATTTTCCTTTTCTATCGCCTATACTGGGGGTACAAATGATTTGGTTTAGGTCTTTAAAAATTTATGGGGTTATGTATATTTGTAAGTTAAGATATTGGTTTGGCTAGCTGTATGGCTCAAAGCGATCCAATTTGCATGGATGTCTTCTCAGTGTAAGGGAGACGCTTTCCTTCTCAGCCACGCTTTGGTTATTCCAAGTGCACCTTCCGGTACACTTACCGTGTTACGACTTGCCTCCTCTTGTTCTGGCTTTCTGTTTATTAAGTTAAGTAGGTTCAATTCGAGGAGGGTGACGGGCGGTGTGTACGCGTCCCAGAGCCAACTTCAAAAGAACTCTCTATTTTCTTTTTACTGCTAAATCCACCTTAAAATACCAATTTCATGGTGTTGTTCGTAATATTCTGACATAGAAAATGTAGCCCATTTCTTTCCACTTCATACGCTACACCTCGACCTGACGTTTTGGGGTGTCCCCTTTTTGCTCACTGTTTTTCCTTCACAGGGTAAGCTGGTGACGGCGGTATATAGGCGGGATTGACAAGAAGTGGTGAGGTTTAACGGGGAATATCGGTTCTAGAACAGGCTCCTCTAGGTGGGTTTGGGACACCGCCAAGTCCTTTGGGTTTTAAGCTGGCGCTTGTAGTCCCCTGGCGGATAATATTTGTATTCTATTATTTAGGTTTAGGGCTAAGCATAGTGGGGTATCTAATCCCAGTTTGTGTCTTAGCTATCGTGAGTTCAGGGTGGCTGTAGGCTATAAAGTTACCTTCGTGGAGGGGCTTCATGCTCCCAAGTGCGTATGACGGCTTAGGGAGATTTTGACTTTAGTTGGGGCAGCATCCTATAATCACGCTTTACGCCGTGGGCTATCAGTTGGAGCCTCTCGTATAACCGCGGTGGCTGGCACGAGTTTTACCGGCTCTCTTAGCTTTAACTAAGTCAAGCTTTCGCTTATTGCTTAATGTTTATCACTGCTGAGTTCCCTTGGGGGTGTGACTAAGTAAGGCGTCTTGGGCTACGGGTCGTGTGCCTGATGCCTGCTCCTTATCTCCTGCTTAGGGTTTGAAGGGCATTCTCACAGGGGTGCGGATACTTGCATGTGTAAGTTCGGCTAAAACTGATAGCAAGGTCAGGACCAAGCCTTTGTGCCCGTGGGACCCGTTAGAGTCCATCTTAACATCTTCAGTGCTATGCTTTGGTTAAGCTACACTAGC